CCCTCTCACCAAAGTCTAGAACGGGTACTGAGACACAAACAGAGTGACGGTGAAGATGTGCCTCCCCAGCAACCCCTGCGCCGACATTTCCGCCATCTCCACGTCCACCTGTATCTCGGCCGGTCCGGTCAGCGATTTGGTCAGGATCAGTTCTCCGCGGTGTCTGCCCGCTTGCCGCACCTCCAGGCCGCGCTGACCTTTGCCCCTGGTGATGGTGAAGCGCTGAGTATCTCCCGGAGACCGCGGGGCCGTCATGGTGAACAGGACCCGGGGAACCGGCAGCTGGGACTGCACGGCGATGTAATGGAAGGAGACGGAGTGGGGGGCTTCCAGGCAGGCGGCACTGCCCACGTGGCACGGCGTCCGTTCACACTGACTGCACGGGAAACAAGGGGGAGACAAAGTGAGGCGGGACCGAGCAGATACAAGATGGGAGGAGCACAGGTCACAAACATGGCCGCATAACGCGACTGAGGGGGCGGGTCAGACTCCGCTCAGCCTATTGCTGATTGGTGACGATAGAAGGGGCGGAGCCAAAAAGGTACCACAAACACAGATTTCATTTTGGTAAATATGTTAAAGTCGCCCGATATCTACAGAGGGGGAGGGGCCTCCGAGTTCCCCCGGATGATATGAGGACGGGACAATTCAGAGACCCCAAAATGTACCTTTTACTGAAAAACAAGAACCCTACAAAGTGTAACCAGTGTGGGGCCCCGGCCTCTGCCAGTGACTTCTGAGGGGCGGGCATTTACAAGAAGCCTAAACATTCATCATCAGCAGAGGGCATGTGACTAGCTGCCACTATTGTGGTCATGTGACCAGTGTGGGGCCCGGCCTCTGCCAGTGACTTCTGAGGGGCGGGCATTTACAAGAAGCCTAAACATTCATCATCAGCAGAGGCCATGTGACTAGCTGCCACTATTGTGGTCATGTGACTAGCTGACAAACCATTCCGGGGATTCCAGTCTTTTCAGAAAAAGGAAGTTTATTCAGCCTCTGAACTACCCAATCTCATTTATTATGCGGATGGAAAGGATTCCAGGCATTTCTAAGGACAGGTCCACTTTAGCAGCAACACATGTGGCATCCAGGATCCTGCCAACAACCAATAGCAGAAGGGGAATTTCATATGGCAACCACGGAACATTGCTAGGGGTCTGCTCGCCCCGTCACTCACCGGCTACTTTCCATTCACTACCAAATATCTTGAGTGTGCGAAGGGGACACAGCTTCACCTTATTCACGAAGCTGAGTGAACATTCCCTACTCCTTTAGTTACCCAACCCCACTGAAAACAACGCCCTCCCTGTGAGGCAGACATTTTATCTCAACAGCTGTTTGGAGGCAGAGATTGTACTGAGCCCCGGGAGGCCAACTAGCAAATCTCCATCTGTTCCAAGTACTGCGATTGATGTCGCCATTATCACATCGTGTTCTCTGGAATTCCACAACTAACCCGCTCTTACCGCAAAGAACCCTTTCCTAAATTCTTTGTAAAATGTCATTCCTTCTCTACGTCATAGGAGTAAAATAATTCATTTATTGAGCATTTCCATCATCTCGTGGAAGAGTCGTACTCACTGTGTGGAGGTCTTCATGTAGGTGGTGTTGTGTTTGGGTTTGGGGCACTCCGGTCGGACGCACGTGAAGCCGCCGTAAAGATTGACGCAGATCTTTCCCCCGGCGCAGGCGCTCTGCTCCGACTCGCACTCATCCATATCTGAGAGGAGAGGAATCAGCTGGTGAGGAGGTCACGTGACAACCCCCCCCGCCCCTGGTTACTTTGCATCATGGACTTACCCTGGCAGCTGTTCTGTGAAGGATCCAGGAGATACCCCTGTGGGCAGACACATTGGTATGATCCAGGAGTATTGACGCATTCGTGGACACAAATCTTCATAAGTGCGCTTCCGTGGAACAGACCACATTCATCGATGTCTGCAGGGGGAGGGGGAGAACATTGGCCACCAGAGAAATGAATACAAGCGTCCCGTAGGTGTGCTGGGCTTATTTTTCTGCCCGAGTCCCATTAGGGAGATTTCCCTCAGACACAACAGGAAGTGACAGGCAATCTCCTCTTGGTGACCGTTGTCACCAGGACAGGCTTCTCCAGTGGAAAAGTGTCCCTTACTTCCTGTTTCAGTGACAACCATAACATTCTGGATGTCACATAATTTTCTGTCCTTGTGACAGAGGGTGAAAGTGAAGAGACAGGCAGCAGTAACCTTCTGAGAGGGGCTCAGATCCTTCCAAACCTTATCCAAAACTCAATGAGGGGAATTTATCAAAATTGGAGCAGCCAATCAGCTTCTCTTTCATTTTCAAATCTTACCTGAGATGCTGATTGGTTGCCATGGGCAACTGCTCCAGATTCTGTTTGCTCCAGTTTTGATAAATTCTCCCCCAATATGTTTTGGGTAGAGATGCAGCTTAATAAGCTATATGGTCGAACCCATGTGCACCCCCTTCCGGATGGTGGAGCCCAGGTGTCTCCAGTGAAGGTCCCATTCCTCCTCCATCATCATAAAGAGACATTGAAGACAATTGGGCTCCTCCAGCCTTGTGTTTGGTGAAGACCCTTTTCTTGTCCACCATGACTGTCCCCCGTGTACAAATCCAGCTCCATACAGACATGGTGTGACCAGTGTGGTGGAGGAACACGAGTGTCCTGCACAGAGCCCCGACCTCATCCCTACTGACCACCTTTAGGATACATTGGAATGCTGATGGCGAGTCAGGTCTTCTCATCCAACATCTGTACCTGAAGAGGGTTATGTAAAAAGGATGCCGCACGTGAAGTGTATGAAGAGCTTTTACCTCCAACAGCGATGTGAACCCAACATCCATAGGTGCCACCTGACCATCACACCTACCTATAGGATCAAAACTATGTGGACCTCTCTCCTAATGATGGACTTCAGGTGTCTCCAGTGAAGGTTCTGTTAAAACTACAACACACAAAGACATTGTAGACAATTGTGGTCCCAGTTTGGTGAAGACCCTTTTCTGTCCCACCATGACTGTCCCCTGTGTACAAAGCCAGCTCCATACAGACACGGTGTGACCAGCTTGGTGGAGGAACCAGAGTGTCCTGTACAGAGCCCCGACCTCAACCCTACTGAACACCTTTGGGATCAGTGG